ATTCAATTCAAATGACATCAAATATTCACAGAGAACATATAGAGTTTTATTTTTTAAGTTAGTTTGGAAGTCTTTGTACATGTATGACCTACTGTTGATTTCCCTGAAACAACTATTAAAACAATAGTTTTAAGAAATTTTGACTAATTTGTACATGTACATGTAGCTGGGTTATAGGCCACATGAAATTTCTTTCAATTTTATGTAAGTAATGTTTGCTATGATTATTGCATCATCTGATGTTGCTTGTTTTTTTTTTAGGATGAAATGAAGAAGCTTAAATATGAAGAAGGAAAAGAGGAAAAATTAACTGCCAAAAGGTGTGGTGTTCAGTACACAAATTATCGGATTATGTGTTTTGAAGGCATCTGCAGTCGAGTGTTGATCAGTACCCTTGATTGACCCTCGTTCGACACTCAATTGATACTTGGTCGACACTTACATGTAGTCAACACTCTACCAACATCTCAATCAATAATCGATCTACAGTTTGTTGGTAGTCGGGCGAGTGTCGACCAACTCATATGTATTGATTGATACTCATGGCAGGTCTGTGAAAATTAGTTCACTCTTGATGTGTCCATCAAGGTGTCAATCGCGTGTTCACCAAGGTGCCGATTGAGTATCGGTCAAGGGTATTGGTCAAAGGTTTCGATTATCACTCAACCATGAAGGCCTTTAGTGCACATGATCCCACAAGTCTCACATTTGTGATTAAAAGTCCCTTGTACATGCATCTCCAAAACAAACTACTGTAAGTTATGTAATGGAAAAGCCCTTTCATGGGATCTGCATTATGGGCTTACATTTTAGTTTGGAATAACCAGAATGAGTTAAATACCTTGAATACATGGTTACTTGTTTTAATTTTGCTTTAATTTTCTTATTGTCATAGACGGGAGTTGGAAGCTGAAGTTTCYGCTCTGAGGACAAAAGTGGAAACTCTTGAAGCAAAGTYTGTTGAAATTTTGTTCTCATTTAATAGTGGAAAGAATTCAATTTGACTATCAGGGAAGCATTCAGTACCGTTCTGAGTGCATTTGTTTCCTGTTTCAGATTTCCAAACCTTCAGTTTGAGTACAGAGATCCAGAGGCAGGGTTTAACCGAAGCAAGGTGAGTTTTTGCAGTACACTGATCATCCGATCATGGCATCTGTGGTCGAGTGTTGATCGATACCCTCGATTGATACCCTCGATCTATATCCTCAATCGATACCCTCGATCAATACCCTTGATCAACACCTAGGATGATACTCAATCAACACTTGATCAACAGTCAGTCAAGAGTCAACTAATTTTTGCAGACATGCCATCAACTGTTGACCGAGTGCTAATCAAGTGCTGCTCGGGGGTATCGATCGACACTCGCTCACAGATGCCTTTAGTACACATGATCCCACTGATCTACATAATAAATTGGTGCCAACACCATTATTTTTTGTTATGTACTGTACATGTATCACAGTGTGAATGAACAGACGTATAAGTTTAGATCTAGTGCTTTGCATGACTGTGTACATGTATTTTATAGGTAAAAGGACTAGTGGCTCAATTGATACATGTCAAAGATGTGTCAACTGCCACTGGCTTGGAAGTGACAGCTGGAGGAAAGGTATGTGTGTTACATGTGTTTTTTTAATTTCTCTCTGATTTTAGAACTGCTTATATATTTAGTCACTATTAGTCTATTGCTGCAAATAAAAGGAGCTTTCTCTCAGATCCAATGCATGGCTCAACCAAACCTTGAATTCCAGCTTGCCCTTTGGACAGGCAGTTCTCAAATTTTGTTTTCCCTGGGCAAGTCTACTAACTTACATGTACATGTAGCTTGCTTTTCTCGATTGAGTTGGCAGATGACTTGACCTTACCCTTGAAAAGTAACTTGCCCATCAAGAAAGTCTACTTTTTTTGGGCCCTGCAATGGTGTACAATTTGTATCTTGAATATAGTATTAAAAAGTATTGGCCAATTTTTTTTCAAGATTGTTATTTGTAGTCCATATTAATCTTCCTTCCCAGTTTATTGTGCATTTATTAATATTTCTTTGGTGTTTTTCTGTTAGAAAGCTAAAATTTTAAGACTTCCTGCAGTTTGAAAACAATAGTTCTTCCATCTGAAGAATGGCCTACATTATAGTGACATAGGTCCTTTAATGTTTAAACTAGAGGAGTTATGTCACCAAATAGTTAAATAGCATTTAGCATTATATATATGCATTATGTGCAGACAGACAGACAGACAGACACACAGCCACACAGCCAGACAGCAGTGTACATGTAGTTGTAACCATTTGTATGTATTGCAGGCCTGTGTTGTCAGGTGGGAATTATTGTTGACTACCTGTTTGTTCAAGTGCTGACAACCACTAAAATACCTTTTCTCTTGTTGTATATTTTCAGCTCTACAATGTAGTGGTGGACACTGAAGTGACTGGTAAAAAGTTGATAAGCAATGGGAAACTCAAGCGTCGATACACATTCATCCCATTGAATAAAATAGCTTCTAGAACTCTCTCAAATGATGTTGTCAAAAGAGCAGAGGGCTTGGTGAGTTGATAAAGTTCATGATCTGATCATGCTACTGTTGCTTTGTGATTTGTCTTCCTACAACTCATAAAGATGCAAGAGTTCTCAAGTTCAAAATGACAAAGAGATCCCGAAATTCATTTTGTTAAGTATTTTAAACATAAAAATGTGTGATTCTAGAAAACATCCATACCAACCTGAAGGAGAGTAATCAGAAATTCTAACAGTAAAGGGGAAGGGGTTGTCAAAAGCCAACATTTTTAAAGAAAAGCATGGAAGAAAAGCCAAGTGGGATTTCTTGAGAGATGGGGAGGAGGGAGGGGGGCAGGGGGTTAAATCCAAAAACACTCTGTGG